ATCCATGAATAATGCATTAATATTTTATTATCTCGGTTGGATCATTGATTGTATCATTCATTTATCATTAATAAATATTTTGTTGTTATACCATTGATTATATATTCAACAATTCAGAGAACATTCTTGTCTAATCGCGAACAATACATCTATATTTTTTTATCTCATTTTTATATCATTGATTGTATAATTTGATGTATACAGTGTGAAGAAATACATTTGTATTCTTATTAATTTGAGATAACATGTAATTTTAAATTATTTTTATTATTTTTTTTTATATATTAATATTAATATAAAAATGCCAAATAATAATCAGAGCAATATTAGAAGACGAAAGCAACAAGATTTAGCAAGAAATGAGCAAGCGTTCATCATAATAATGATGGTTATCGTCACTTTTTATAATGGAAATGATGATTAAATATACTTCAAAATTCTGTTTTAGCATATATAGTGTACAGTGAGTTTTAGTTGTGATTTTTCCATTTCATTATACTATGCTGATGAAATGTTTGATTATTAATCAAGAATCCACTCCAAAAAAAAATTTTTTTTAATATACAGAGACAAAAGAGAAATAAATCTGGGACCCCAGAAACTTTTGTTGCAGATAAAATAATGGAAATCGAATATCCATTTGAACATGTCAACATTATTAATATAATAAAAATTATAGAGCTTGTATTCATGGTAATAGATTTTTATACTAAAATTTTTGGATTATGGTGTATATTAAATATTATTCAATTTTTATTTGTAGAAAATTATCGAGTTGAACAATGATATGTTATGTAACGGGATGCTGGAAAAGGACGGGGACGGGTTCAAGCTACACCTGCCCGTCCCCCTTCCTTTTCAAGTTTGGCCCATTAATACTAGAAAAGGACGGGTGATGGTACGGGTATTCTGCAAAATGATGTAAAAAAGGACGGGTAACTAACATGGAACAGGTGTGGCGTGGTGAAGGCGTAGAAACCCATTTGCTTGCCCTTTTCTATTATTCATGGGCAAATCTTTGAAAAGGACGGGTTGCTGTGCCATTACTACCCGTCCCATTGCTCCTTTTTATTATTCGCGGGCAAATCATGAAAAGGACAGGTGAAAGGTGTTTGTCATAATATAATTTTTAGTAAACAGGCTGCAAAATTGGACTATTATAATTTCCCGTCTCTATTTATTCCTTATCTAAAGTCTTGATTTTTATTTTTTTATTATACAATTGAGGCTAAAACTTATGTAAAATTAAAATAATGAAGAATACAAATCATAATAGATAATAAATAAGCTAATTAAAATATATAATATAATCGAATACATGAAAAGGACAGGGGACGGGCAGGTTGGCTTGAACCCGTCCCCCGTCCTCTTTATTTTGCATCATTATATTTATTATACAATATTGCAAATATTAATGCCCGTCCTTTTTAAGAAAACATCAGGGACGGGCAGTAATGGCGCAGCAAACCCGTCCCTTTTTCGCCCGTCCTTCTCAAGATTTCCCCATGAATAATAGAAAGGATGGGGGACGGATCACTGTGCCACATCCGTCCCTTGTTAATTTCCCGTCCTTTTTTATACTATTTTGCAGAGCACCCTCACCATTGCCCGTCCTTTTCTAGTATTCATGGGCTAAACATGAAAAGGACTGGGGACGGGTTAAGCCACACCTGCCCGTCTCCCATTCTTTTCATGTGTCCACAAATAATCTTGAATTGACATAGATAAATACAATGAAGATAATAAATTCATTAAGTTAAAGAGTGGTTATCTTATATTAAAACATAGGTTTTTCATTAATCAAGTATGGGTTATCTGGGTTGTTAAGGTCAAAAATTTGTATTGATGATATTATTATTAAAAAAATGTTAAGTGAATTGACCAAGACTATTTTTATGGATTAAGTTTAACTATAATGTAGCATTTTATACATAATATTATTTCAAATGTATTAACATAGTTAATCAGCATTTAACTATTCCTAGTTGGCTCGTGAGCCAGTTATTTCCATTAATTAAAAAATAATATTTTTTGGTTATTCAAAACACTTATAACCATTCGAAGCATTTACTGTTACGAAACATTTATGTCTATTCGAAAACATTTACGACTGTTCGAAGCATCTATTATTTACCTACTATCGAAAGTTATTTGGTGTATTTCGAATGTTTATAATTCTTTTGGAATATTTAGAAAATGGTATTAATGAACGGAAATACTAAATTGAAATTATCAAGCCAACTACTCAAAGCTTGGCTTGGCTCAAACCGGCTTGTATAGAGATTTATTCCTAAACATCTTCTACGGAGATACTGTCATATGTAAGCTGTCTGTACTAATATTCTAATTCATTGTTAAACAAAATCAATCTATGTAGACTTATCTACATCATTATTAAGAATGTTAGCTGAAACAGTTTTTGAAAAAATCAATTTTAGTAAGCTTACAACATTCTTGATATCGATAGCATAAAAAAAAAACAGGATTTTCGGCTATTGAGTTAAATGTTCAAATAAGTTCAGATACAATTTTGGCAACTAGTAAAGTTATTTTTCGACATCTATGAAAAGTTTATTAAGAGAGACAATTTCGGCTAACTACTAATAAAATCAATTGTTCCAACATCGACAACACCTCCATTTTCATGAATAATAATGATTCATTTTATCTTATTAGTATGGATGGTATTGTACTAGTGCTTTAGTGGTGATGACTCAGATTTGCAATACTGATTTTTTTTTTCAAATAAAACTCAATAAACATGATATTATTATTATGTGTAAAAGGAATTCAATTATTTTAAAAAAATCAAAGATTTATAATGATTTCCAAATAAAAAACTTATTGAAAAAGGAGAATTTCCGGTCATTTGCTTTAAAAAATTAGCCAAAATCATGCCCTAGAAGAATATAGGCAACAAAGTGCTGAATTGTTTAATAAAGAAGTGGATTTATCAAAATTTCTTTTAATTGCTACTACTTCCCACGAAGCTGAAAAATTATCAGCTCCTTTGCTTTCTTACTTAGATTGAATCAATGTGGACATTAGTTCAACCAAAAAAAATTTTTCTTGGACAAGTATTATCACTGATTTTTAATAATGCCTTCATTCATGGTTAATTTGATCCTTATTAATCTTGCCACTAGTTCCAAAAAATATAAGCATGTATTTAAATGAAAATGTGATTGTGAGGTATAGTAAAAATATGCATTCAAAACAGAGGTAATTTGTAAAATCAGTGACGTTAAAAATTTTGATACACAAAATCACTAGTTCACTTTGCCTGATTTTGTTGCAGCATGCCCCAAATTATGTTTTGAGATTAACTTTATTCATAGATAAGAGGCGTGGTAAGGTTCACAGGTTACAAGCGGTTACAATTTATTTGTTATTATTATTAAATAAAAAGGTAAAATAAATAATCAAATAAATAATTTGAACGGATATCCAGGATTTTTTAATCTGAATAATGAAAATAACACGCTATAAACTGCAACCAAGACTCCCATCCAAAGCTGTAATGATAATTAATAATATTTTTAATTAGCATTATATAATAACAATTTTTTAAGAGATAATGAGAATTATAAACTCTCTTACATATACTGTAAATCTTTGTTTGGTTTTATCATTGATTTTAGGTACGGATGTTATCAAAGAAATTACAGAGAATGCACAAACACCATCTACGAAAAACTCAATTATTATAAATTGGCTGATATTAATTAACAATGATTAGAAATTATTGCAAGAAAACTTACAGATAATAGCAACAATTTGACTTTCCATTCCTAATTGATTAGAGTAACCTGGTGCTATATAACTGATATGTCCATTTTGCGAGATTATGTATGGTGGCCCTCTAATATGATTCCACATATGTCCAGAAATCATCAACAATATTACAACCTGTTGTCAGGAAATATCATTTGTTAAAAGGAAAAGAAAAGTGTGTAAATCATTATAATGAAATAATGAAATAAAAAATGGCAATGTGCTTACTAATGTAACTGTGGCCCAAGTATTTTTATTCCAAATGAAACTCTTGATATATGGATATGCCAATTTGATAGTAGCCAAAGATCCAATCAATAGGAACACGACAATAAAAAGTTTAAGGTAGTCGAATGGACGTTGAATTCTGATTTGTGTGCCCAAATTATTTGATAAATATCCTGCTAATTCCTCAGCCAAAAATCCACTAAACAATCATGATATAGACAAGTAGATATACAGATTCAATATAAATATGTGAATGTAAATAACTATGTTTAAAGAGAAAATTAAATTACTGTTTATTAAAATCATATCTATCAGGCTCTGAAATCTCTTTTCCGTATGGTCCAGTGGTTGGTGGGAAATAGTATATTGAAGGAGCATTATTCAATTTTAACTAATGGAAATATAATCAATACTTTAAATATCTGATCACTAATGAATGATTTATATAGTAAAAAAATACAAATTTACGAATAATAATACCTTCGAATAAACCTCTTTACCATCTCTAAAATCTAAAACACCAAAGTACAAACGTGATGGGTCGTTGGCTGTTTTAAGCCAACTACTTGCAACCAATTGAAATTCCGGTTCAAAATCTCTATTGATTTTTTTTTCAAATAAAAATTAATAAAAAATTATTTCGTTGCCTTTTTTTATATTATAATGGATAAATTACCTGCATGGTTTGCAATTTAAACGTGGTTCCATTGCTGTGAGTAGTATGATCATTGAATAATTCCTTGGTTTCCCTGTATATTCCTCATATAGTCTCGAATCTAGCTCTACAATTCCATTATTTATTTGTGTTTCTTTATTTAGCTTTTCTACTTTTGATTCCAATGTTACCTTAGCATGACCAACCTCCAATAAAAAGATGTTGGAAATTATGAAAATGAGAGTAAATCTAATGAAATGTTTAATCTTCATATTTTAAAATTTTTTTTTTTCGAAATAAATTATATGTTACACGACGTCACAAAAAAATTTTAAAAAACAAAATGTCATCATCTTCCATGTTTGATTCTGATGAGAACAATGAAACCAATAACTTACCAGATAGCCTTTCTGAATCAGATGAAAACATTGAAGACAACAACGCAGTAGCCAATATTTTTGATTCGGATGAAAACAACGAGAATAATGTAAGCAACAACACTGTAGCTAATATTTTTGATTCGGATGAAAACGATGAAAACAACGAATACAACGAATACAACGAAAAGAGCAAAGATAATGAAAATAACAACACGGAAACCAATACTTTTGACTCAGATGAAAATAATGAATACAACGAAAAGAGCGATGTTAATGTAAACAACAACGCGGCAGCAAATATTTTTGATTCAGATGAAAACAATGAAAATATTGATGTACCAGACGATAAACATGACCTTGAGATAGAAGATTTATTTGGAGCAGGTGGAAGTGGTGAAGATGACGATGACTTACAATTTGAAGAAAAGTAATTGTTGTCATAATTATTAATTTTTTTAAATATTTTCTTTTTTATTTTATTTAATTAAAATTCCTTTTTTTCTTGTAGAGAGACCGAGAAACCCCATTCTAAAGAAGCAGATATACAAATATTCGGTGCACTGCCCCATACTAGAACTAACAAAGTAAAGAAATATACTTTATATATTGTATTGGGTTAATCATTAGATTTTAATTAGAGTTTTCTATTGTTTTTATAAGCTTGATTTAATAAGAATGCCAAGATTTTTTACTCAATCATATACAGACTTTGATCCCAAGACATATAATGGAGAAAATGAGTCAAATTATTACAAAGGTGTCAAATTGGCAGCAGAAAGTTCAATTAGATGGCGTTATAATAAGAGAAAAAAAGAAGATGATGAAGATGAGGTAATTTATCTTTAAAAAAAACTTTTTTAAGAAATTTGATTTTGATTAAATGGTTAATTATTATAATAATAATGCTTTTTTTAGATCATTGAAAAAGAAACAAATACAAAATTGGTTAAATGGTCTGACGGTTCAAAAACACTTCATATTGGAAAAGAAGCATATTTATTAAATTCTTATGAATTTGCAAGACCAAGATATATAGCAATTGCACATAAGCAAACAAATGTTCTCGAGTTTCAATCAAGGGTTCCAGGTTATTCTTCTTTTACACCTAATAATTTGCACAGTTTAACACATAAAAGATTGACGGCTGCTATTCAAGCAGAACATAAAAAACAAATGAAAACCAAATATATTGACTTTTCAACGAATGAAAAACTGATGAAAGAGCATCAAGAACAACAAAGAAAAGGTCAAAAGGCTCAAAAATCATCTAATGCGCCTAAAACCAGTAAACCACGTAAAAGAGATTATCGTTCATCTGACGAGGATGCAGATATAATATCAGCAAGAAAGTCATTATCACACAATGATACTTATGTTGACGATTCTGGATTTGTGGTAAATGATGAAGAAGAAGAAGAAGATTGAAGATTTGTGAATTTAATTGTAAAAAAAATAGTATATACACTCTTGCACTTACAATTTGAAGAAAAGTAATTGTTGTCATAATTATTAATTTTTTTAAATATTTTCTTTTTTATTTTATTTAATTAAAATTCCTTTTTTTCTTGTAGAGAGACCGAGAAACCCCATTCTAAAGAAGCAGATATACAAATATTCGGTGCACTGCCCCATACTAGAACTAACAAAGTAAAGAAATATACTTTATATATTGTATTGGGTTAATCATTAGATTTTAATTAGAGTTTTCTATTGTTTTTATAAGCTTGATTTAATAAGAATGCCAAGATTTTTTACTCAATCATATACAGACTTTGATCCCAAGACATATAATGGAGAAAATGAGTCAAATTATTACAAAGGTGTCAAATTGGCAGCAGAAAGTTCAATTAGATGGCGTTATAATAAGAGAAAAAAAGAAGATGATGAAGATGAGGTAATTTATCTTTAAAAAAAACTTTTTTAAGAAATTTGATTTTGATTAAATGGTTAATTATTATAATAATAATGCTTTTTTTAGATCATTGAAAAAGAAACAAATACAAAATTGGTTAAATGGTCTGACGGTTCAAAAACACTTCATATTGGAAAAGAAGCATATTTATTAAATTCTTATGAATTTGCAAGACCAAGATATATAGCAATTGCACATAAGCAAACAAATGTTCTCGAGTTTCAATCAAGGGTTCCAGGTTATTCTTCTTTTACACCTAATAATTTGCACAGTTTAACACATAAAAGATTGACGGCTGCTATTCAAGCAGAACATAAAAAACAAATGAAAACCAAATATATTGACTTTTCAACGAATGAAAAACTGATGAAAGAGCATCAAGAACAACAAAGAAAAGGTCAAAAGGCTCAAAAATCATCTAATGCGCCTAAAACCAGTAAACCACGTAAAAGAGATTATCGTTCATCTGACGAGGATGCAGATATAATATCAGCAAGAAAGTCATTATCACACAATGATACTTATGTTGACGATTCTGGATTTGTGGTAAATGATGAAGAAGAAGAAGAAGATTGAAGATTTGTGAATTTAATTGTAAAAAAAATAGTATATACACTCTTGCATGCATGCATTACATACATTAATTTTAATTTTATCATGTCATCACATTGGTTAAAAATCTAGAATGATTTATTTATTTAATTTTTAAAAGGAACTAGATTGAATCTTACAAAAAAAAATAAACATGCATATATATATTAAAAATTTTTTTTTGATAATCAATAATATTCTGAGAAAGGGGAAATATTATATATCAAAAATTATCAGCTTTGATAAATTAGTATTGGAAAATAAATAAATCAAGTTACATGATTTTTTAAAATAAAGAATGCCATTGTAACGAATCTAGTTTAGAAA